AACCAACCAACCAACCAACCAACCAACCAACCAACCAACCAACCAACTCAGAGCTTCTACACTGAGAGCTTATGCACCGGAGACAAATTCCTTGATAATCCAATCACACTTGGCCAATAAAGAATATTCTATTCTTTGAAAAGGAGGATTGGAAAATTTTGTTACTAAATATTATGGATGTTTATCTAGAAGAGGACCTAAGGACTCAGTACTATTGGAGGATCTTAGAAACAGTAAATGAAATGCCAGTTTGTGGTTATGCATTAAATTTTGGTATATTTTATGATGAAGGATGTCTAAACAATGATAGTTTAAATAAAACTGGAGGTATGATGATGGTAACATATATAAACATTGGAGTTAAAATACTGGAGTTAATATGAACTAAACTTGATGACGGTGGAAGAGATGCACGAAAGCCTTTTGTAACCAACTGAAACACTTTCTACAGTATGTAAAGAAAGAAGATTTTATGTGTCATGTTTGTTTTGAAAATTAAAAATAAAAAAAATATTTTTTAAAAAAGAGATTGGACTGCCATTTCTCAGAAATTGTATAGGGCAGTGGTTCCCAATGTGGGGCCTACGCCCCACAGGGGGGCAATTTGATTTTTAATGGTGGAAATCAACTTAGTTGAGGGGGGGGGAAGGTCAAACTCAGCTATTCTCTACTCTTAATTACTAGAATTGTTTTACTGTCTCCTCTCTGTTTTATTGCTGGGGTATGGCTTTAAACCAGTGGTTCCCAATATGGGCCCTGGGGGGGGGTATTTTTAAGAGGGGCAATTTGAACATTGTTTAAACCAGGTTAATGGCCTTTTAAGCTTCCTCCCATGAGTAGAGTTCACTTTTTGAGTAAAGTAGGATGTCACAGTGGTAGAATCAGGATTTTAGAGATGCTTAGGTGAGGCATGGCCCAAAAAAGGTTGGGATCCATTGGTATAGGGACTCCTGCTTGAGTGGGGGTGGGGGTTGGACTAGATGACCTATAAGGTCCCTTCCAACTCTGTTAATCTGTCTGTTAATCATTATTAAATCACCCCGGTGGAGAAGGAAGGGAATATTCCTACTCAAAGCAAGTTTACCATGTTCCACATCGATCCTTAGTTGAGGAAATAAAGTCAAACTCAGCTATTCTCTAGTGCAATGGTGGCACCAAAATAATGCCCAAACAGGAACGCACATGCATGCATGCGCGCCAGAGCACCGGAAAAGACCAGCATGCCAGTTTTTCTGCCGTTTTGGGGGGTATTTTCAGGCTCTTTTTTGGGCCGTTTTCAGGCCATTTTCGAGCCGTTTTCAGGCCCCCGCGAAGAGCACCTGGTAACGGTGCGTGTGCCCACAGAGAGGGCTCTGCGTGCCACAGGTTCGCCATCACGGCTCTAGTCTAATTACTAGGATTGTTTTATTGTCCCCCTCTCTCTTTTATTGCTGGAGTTTGACTTTAAACCAACCTGATTGGAGACTTTTAACAAGAAAGGTGGGCAGGCGAAACGGGGCGAAGTTCGCGCCTTCTCCGGGGAGAACTTTGGGGAGAGAGAGGAGGTGGGTGGGTGGTCCCCTTTCCAACCTCTTAAAGGAGGGGCGTCAGGGAGGGGGCGTGGAAAGAAAGAAAGAAAGAAAGAAAGAAAGAAAGAAAGAAAGAAAAGAAAAAGTGGGTGGGGGGGGGTGCTAGGGCTGGCTCTACTGATTGGGCCGGAGGCGGGCTCTTGCCTCCTCCCCAGCGCAGCTGCTCGCGTTGCGGGCAGAAGAGCCGCCCCGGCCGGCCTTGGGAAGGGAAAAAAAAAAAAAGGCTCCGCGGGAAACTGGGGGAAGAGTTTGCTCACGGCCGGAAGGCGTCTCTCTCTGAGCCGGCGATGTCCTGCCGGCCGGAGCTTGTAAGCAGCTGACAGCGTCTTCTAGGGAATCGGGAGAGCCCCCCGAGGCGGGCGGAAGATCCAAGCGCGCTCCTCTGCCTGCTTTGCCTGCTCTGCCTTCGCTCTCCTCCGCCCGGGATCTCTCTGTGTGTGTGTGGGGTGTCGCAGCAGCCATGGGGCTGCCCACGCTGGAGTTCAGCGATTCCTACTTGGACGGTCCGGATTTCAGGGAGAGGCTGAAATGTCACGAGGTGGAGCTGGAGAGGACCAACAAGTTCATTAAGGAGCTGATCAAGGACGGCAGCCTCCTCATCGGGGCGCTCCGGAGTGAGTAAAGAGGCTGGGGTCGGGGGGGTGGGTGAGGAGGGAGCCGAGCCGACGCTGGGAGTTGCTTGTGAGAGAAAGGGCCGCTCTTTTGTTTCAAATGGAGCCTCCGAAGAACAAAAATAAATAAATAAATAAGTATTTTAAAAAAATTAAATAAAAAAATCCCACCGGGGGGCGCGGGGTGGGGAAGGGGCGCGCCCGCGTTTTCGGGGTCCGCGCGCAAAGCCTCAAGCTCACCCAGCTGGCTTTGTGCTTAAAGCTAGGAGTAGAACTCAGGACTTCTATATTCTATATTGATATCTTTACCACTACATTATTTTATTCTATTTTTCTACTTATTGTTTTATTTACAATTGTTATTGGTGTTTTTTAAAAAAAAATTAATTGCATTATTTGTATTAATGGTAAGGAGCTGCTGTAGCGTCTCCCTCCAGCGCAGCCTTGACTTAAAAGGTTAAAATGTCTTTTCTGGGCTTTTCGTCCCAATAATTGCTTTTTTCCCTCCTCCCCATCCTGGACCTGACTTGTGAGATCCTATTGCCCAGCGCTGTTTCCCCCCACCCCCCCTTTTGCAGACAAGACATGTGCAGGATGCTGGGCAATACCAGCTTCTCCTCCCCGCCCCCTTGCAGGTAGGTCTCGATTTACAACGGTTCGTTTAGTGACTGAAGTTAAAAGGGCACTGGGGGGCAAAGTGACTCGTGACTGTGGGGGTTTTTTTGCGCTTAGAAGATTGCTGGGTGATCTTGGGTGAGGAACTTATCACATTAACAGAGTTGGAAGGGACCTTGGAAGGGTCATCTAGTCAAACCCGCCCCGCCCAAGCAGAAGACTCTGTACCATTTCTGAGAAATATCAGTCCAATGTCTTCTTGGACAGCCGAGCCGAGGTGGCGCAGTGGTTAAATGCAGCACTGCAGGCTACTT